TGTAAAAAGCCACTGACTATCCCCAAACTGACTTTTATAAAACATTAACAAGTGCCTCCTCAATCCTCAGTAATGCCATGGAGTTAGGAGGAGTCAAGGGCAAAGCCCTAGTTTTCTAGCTGGGGAAAAATGGTATGTGTGCAGGATTTGTAAACTCTTAACAGAAGCAATTTATCTTTTTACCTACTGGTTTTGGACTTCTTGAATATGTTTTTAAATGGAGATATTTTATAGATTCGTAAAGACTTACATCTTAATGCAGTGCATGTTCTATTGAAAGCTCGGCTGATTCATTCTGCCTTATATAGGATTTAGGACCTCAGGGGCAGGAGATGACCTTCTTTTTTTTCCCAACAAAGCTATACCTGACTCGGCAGTGGGAGACATCAATGAGATCTCAGACTGGCTGCGGCAGGAAAAGGAGATTTCCATTCACAGAAGTAGTGGAAGGCAACATTTTCATAGGGCATGATTCATTTCAGTCTTAACTTGACATTCTGTAGAAAAGTACCAGCTGGTAGGGCCAAGGGTAGGATGCCGGCCAGTGTGGTTGCCCTGAATGACGAGGCACGTTCTGTGCTCAGAACCAGCCCCTTGAATAGCCTGATACCTGAAGGGGCTACGCCATCTTCTAATTCACCGGAAGTTAGGAACCACATTGTTTCATCGATCTCTTCTAATCACATGTAATCAAGATATGCTAGTTCATGCAGAAGTTCAAAAATGAATGTAACGTAGCAGGTCATGCTTATTATTAATAAGACAATAACCAACGAATGATTTGTGGGCTTCCATGTATTCAGTTCCACTTTCAAGCTAGTGACTGCCATCAAAACTAGGTTTGGCTTGTCACATTTGAAAAATCGCTCATGGGGTGAGTGCCTTTTCTCCTCGGAGGACTAGCAAGGACTATTAATGTTCAAAGTACTGTTGTCCAGAGTAGCCTTTTAAAATGCTAAGAGCTTGTATTTTGTCAGACAAATATTGGTAACTAGGTATTTTGTCTCCTCCAGTGAGACCCTGCCTCATTTTTTTTTTTTCATGTTTCATGCCATTGAAACAAAGAACATTAGGGGTTTGTAATGGAAAGCAGTTATGCTTGTTTTGAAAACAAATCTTCCATTTCTTCGGCCATTAGATAATTTTTCTTTGCAGAGATTTTTAGGCATGAAAACAATTTGCTGCTCAGTAACCAGACATAAAAGAAAGAAAGTGCAGAATACATACAGCATGTGCAATTTGGGGGGGGGGGGCGTATAATAGAACTGGTGCTAAGTCACTTCTATCTAATATTTTATCTGGTTTTGTTTGTTTGCTAAGTACCATCCTGGGGCCTCGAAGTAAGTAAAAATACTGGTTTCATGTTTACTCTCTGTACAACCTTGGATTTTTATATGTCTTGTGGTAATGCGTTTTAGATTTGAATACACATTTTTGTGTGTGTGTAGGCCTTAAATGAGGAAGAGAACAATTCATCCTGTACTTTTCGGTGGAATGAATGGCTTAGTAAGGAATGAAATAGAACCGAAAATATTGTGATCACTTTCTATTAATTAACATTGTTCTTCTTCGTTGTGCTGTTACTTAAGTGGTGCAAAAGTATTTTCTCGTATCTTTTTTCTATGACCTATTAAGTAAGTAAGGGCCCGAACTTTAAACTCTGTCTTTTTAAGTAGGTGTTTTCATGTGTTTCCCTTGTATGTACTGCTGATAGCGCTTTAAGAAAACTAAAAATCTGTCAATGTCTTTTTGTTCCATTTGTTTGAATTTCTCAGGTAGAAAGCCACATAACCTGGTAATTTTGAAAGTAAGAACCAAATAAATGTATTTTTATTTGTTGCAAGACTGTTTAAACTGTTTTAAATAAATGCTAATAATCCCACTGGCGGGGGGCGGGGGATGAGTTTCTACTTGTACTAAGCTGCTTTGCACTCCTGTGGCCGACCCTTTGTCTCATTTGCATTGTTAGAGAAATAGTACATAGTTAATTTTCAGATATATTAAAAATAAAATGGTCGTGGTGACTAGAGTCTGTTCATTTTTTTTTTTTTTAAAGATTTTATTTGTTTATTTGAGAGAGAGAATGAGAGAGAGCATGAGAGGGAAGAGGGTCAGAGGGAGAAGCAGACTCCCCGCTGAGCAGGGAGCCCGATGCGGGACTCGATCCAGGGACTCCAGGATCATGACCCGAGCCGAAGGCAGTCGCTTAACCAACTGAGCCCCCCAGGCGCCCTAGAGTCTGTTCATTTACCATGCACATTGGCTAGGATGTTGCACATCTCCAGCATTTTCTATGAAAATATATACACACATCCAGTTTTAATATTCTTTTTTTTTTTTTTAAGATTTTATTTATTTAGGGCGCCTGGGTGGCTCAGACGGTTAAGCGTCTGCCTTCGGCTCAGGTCATGATCCCAGGGTCCTGGGATCGAGTCCCGCATCGGGCTCCCTGCTCCTTGGGAGCCTGCTTCTCTCTCTCTCTCTCTCTCTGTCTCTCATGAATAAATAAAATCTTTAAAAAAAAAGATTTTATTTATTTATTTGACAGAGAGAGACACAGCGAGAGAGGGAACACAAGCAGGGGGAGTGGGAGAGGGAGAAGCAGACTCCCCGCAGAGCAGGGAGCCCGATGCGGGGCTCGATCCCAGGACCCTGGGATCATGACCTGAGCCGAAGGCAGACGCTTAACGACTGAGCCACCCAGGCGCCCCTTATTATTGATTCTATGCAACTTTTCCCTATACGATGCTAATGTTTGGGAATGGACTATGTCAGAGCTCATGCAGCTGAAGATCACAGTTTTATCTTCATTTTGGATAAGTTGAAATAACAGTATTGGACTGAAGACTATCACTATCCTCCCTTCAGCAAAGGTTTTATCAATAATCTTAGAAGGCAGCGAAATGGACCCCGTGGCGTTTCCCCTCACCCTCTTAGCACCTGGTGGCAGTGTTCCAGTTCTACGATCTCTTGTTATCAGTGAGTGAGGGTGTGGGATGGGGGGGGGGGTTCTAGTCAGAGAAGCTAGGGGCTTCACTAGTCAGTCTTTGATCAGCCAGGAGTTATCTGCGTTTTGACGTGACGTGTATAGCAAACTGCTTCCAAGTGTTCTATAACAAAGACTGTACCTTAGAACAATCTGGGTACTTTACAGTTGAAAGGGTCCTTGTTGGTGGGGGGCAGTCAAAGAGCACTCTCTGAAACAGCAAGGGCTGTCTGGATGTTTGCTCTAGATCTTGGATTAGCCTCTTGGGCCCTCTGAGGTGTCACTATGCAGAGAAGCCACAGATCTGGAGAGGTACGGAAACCACGGAGAGAATGCTTAGGACCCAGAGGTGCTACTCCTGAGAACACAGTGCCTCTGCAGCGGGGCGGGGGGGGGGAGCTGGTTAAAGCAGGGGAACCAACCCGTGGGGTTCACCTGACACCGCCCCCACTGGCTGGGCACCTGTAACCACCACGCCCATCTTAAATGGTGCCTTTTATGTAATGTGGTTTCTGAATATGCTAGCTGGATTTGAGAAGTTTTTAGACCGAAGTCCTGCCTTATTGTAGTATCCTTTTACGTGTAATCAATACAATGTTGATTTCATTCTGAATGGTGGGGAATCCGGCTATTTGAGATCGAAGCTTTAACCAGGCTCTGGACGGTTTCCTCTTGGCATCAAACCCGTTTAACTCAGAGAAAGGAGTAGCCTAATCTTCGCATCTGAATGAGATTTCAGGCTGCAAGGTGGCCCAGCTTCTCTCTCCCACCCCTTCCCCGAAGCACTCGGTGTAACAGGGTGCTTGGCACAAAATGGGCAACTGGAATATTGGTTGAATGAAACCTAGTGGGGGGGGGGCAGGGCTCTTTTAAAAACAATAGAAACAGGCAATGGTTTGGGAACATAAAAAGCGGAAAGCTGAGCGTCCTCTCCCGGTCGGAGTATATCTCTTGTAAGAAAACTGCCGATTTGAACGTTAAAATGGCAAAACACTAATATTCAGAGAAAGAAGTTGTGCTGACACAACGAACTGCAATATGCAAACCTGATCTTTTGACAGGAGGTGAATTAACTTTGCTAGCATGTAAGAATTTCCTAACGCTTTCCTGATGGATGGTATCTGAACACAGAACCAACCAACCCTGCCCAGGCACTTTTAATGTCGTCCTTAGTAAAGTTACCCCTTAATAACCTTGCTATGGACCTCGAGGCAGAGGTGCCTTTGAGTTTAGAAAGTTCTGATTTAAAGAGGCAGATTTTGAAACAAATAATAATGTTAAAAAAAAAGTAGGAAGGGGAAAATGAAGGGGGGGAAATTGGAGGGGGAGACGAACCATGAGACCATGGACTCTGGGAAACAAACTGAGGGTTCTAGAGGGGAGGGGGTGGGGGATGGGTTAGCCTGGTGATGGGTATTAAAGAGGGCACGTTCTGCATGGAGCACTGGGTGTTATACGCAAACAATGAATCATGGAACACTACATCAAAAACTAATGATGTAATGTATGGTGATTAACATAATAAAACAAAATTTTAAAAAAGGCAGAATTTGACAAGTCACAAAAAATAAATTCACACTAACTTTTTAAAGTCAGTTTGCACATTTTCATTAGGGCAGTTTAGCTAATGTCAATTCACTTTTTTTTAAAGATTTTATTTATTTATTCGAGAGCCTGCACGTGGGAGGTAGGGGCAGAGGGAGAAGCAGGCTCCCCGCTGAGCAGGGAGCCCAGCATGGGGCTCAATCCCAGGACCCTGAGATCATGACCTGAGCTGAAGGTAGGGGCTTAACTGACCAAGCCACCCAGGTGCCCCTCAATTCACTGTTTCTTAACAGGACAAGCTGGTACTTGGTTTGTGGTGTGAGATCTCTGAAGTTTTGCCCCTTTACTGGTTTCTTTTGGAACACATACACACACACACACACACACACACAGAAGGGAAGCGGAGTATTAAGCTAAAGTAAAATGATCGAATCTGGTTTCTTAGGTTAAGGTTTAAAAACCCACACTATACTGGGTAAAACCATTTTTATTAATTAACCGACCAAGCACTTCATTTTGTTTTCTGATTTGAGGTAAAACCATGAAACACGGTTCACAAGAAAATACAAGGACTAGTCAACTACAATTACAAGAGTTTGAAACCTCACTAGTTGTTCATATAATACTTTTACAAATTCATACAACTGTACAGTCTACTTAAGCGAAGTTTATTGTTAACCAAAAGACCAGTATCAAAGACCTAGACGCTTGGCCTACTACTCTCGCAGTGGCTATGGTTTTGTAACAACAGAAGAGTAACTGTTACCTTAAGGAATATACTTTAAAAACCACTTGGCTAGTGATGTGTACTTTCTTCTTCCTGGGGGGTGGGGTGTGTGTGTGTGTGTGTGTGTGTGTGTGAGAGAGAAGGCTCTCCGGAGAGCAGAGGCCTGCTCCTGTTCAGCATACCCCCCCTCTCTCGGCAAACTGTGTGAAATCACCGTTGTCCCACCGTGAACATGGGGATAGGGGAGAGAGTTCTACGTTTTCTTCATACATTTCGGTTTTCCGGCATGCCAGCGGATCTCTTCCAAAGCTTTCTTTTGAATGTTCAGATCCTGTTTTAAGTCTTACTGTATATTGCTGTGTTAGTGGGGGCATCTGAGTGTCCAGAGGACAAAAAGAATGATGCAGTCTACGAACACAGTGAATGTACTTTTCCCAACCGAACCCAGCTTTGAGATTTCTTTTCTTTTTTTTTTAAACTGGGCAGCTCTCTTTCATCAATACCAAAGAAGGCTCTGGAACACTGCAGATTTGCTTTAGAGGTAGATAAAACAGAAATCATGCAGTTAAGTCAATTGAGAAATAAAGGATTTGCTATCTTGAGGACAGCGAGACTAGAAATTGATCCTTTGTTCTCGGGGCTAGAAGGACTTTGCACAGTTAACATTTTTTTTTTTACCTGTTTGGGGGAAATACCCAAGTCTTACCTGTCTCGCTCAGGAAAAAACGAATTTAAAGGCAGCCTGCACTAACTACAGACAGAAGGGGAGAATCCTAACATTTGGATCGCAGCACTGCAGTTCACGGTCTGGATTTGTGACACACAAACACGCCATGCACTTGAAGACGGAAGAGTTAACTGGTTCAGTGTCACTAGTGATGTTAATTACAAAAACTTAACAGCAAGTTCGAAACTGCTCGAAATATTGAAATCACCATGTTTTAAAGACAGACTGGAATGTTACAAATGATTCTGCAAAATACAAAAATAGATATGCTTCCACGGGATGCTTTAATCATTTTTCCGAGCATTCTCATCTTTTGGTTCTTCCTCGTCAGAGTACACAGTGGGCTCCTCCCCCTCCTTCAGCAGTTTGCCCACATGATGATACTTGACTGGAGGGAAAGAAGAAAACACAAATGAGCACTCTCAGGCTTCACACAGGGGCACTACATTTCAGCTGAAAGCATTCGGGAGAGGCCTGCGGTCCTCAAAGCTGTCGGTCACACAGGACTCACCCCGCTGTCCTTGCCCACGGGGAATTAAGAGTTTCGTTCGGGAGAAATACCAAACAGGCAGCGATGTCGGGCACCGAGTGTGCAAGGGAAGGTCAAAGTGAGTCGTGTCTGCGTGCAGGAGGGGCTGAGAAGAGCAAGGGCTCGTTAGAAGGATTTCAGAACACCTGACGAAGAAGGCTATGCTTTGGAAAACGCATGGAAGGATCTGAGGCGAGAGGGGTTTCCAGAAAATGACAATGCCATGTACAAAGGCATGCAGGCGAGACTGAGCCGATCTGGGGAGCACCAGAGAGACCAAGCTGACAGCAACAGAGCGGGAGTGAGTGTGGGGGGGGAAGCAGTGTGGGGAAGATACTATGGTTGTGGAACGCCAGCCTGAAGCGTCTGGACTTAGTCCTACAGGTGGCAAGGGTTTATGACAAAGGAAGCCAGTCCTCTGGCACACATGGGGTGGTGGTGGCCCGCCAGGCGGATCACAGCAAGGAGACCAGGCGCAGGCTGCCCACGAGGCCAGCGGGTGGATGTGGGTGTGAAGGAACGAGAGCCAGGAGTAGGGTGTCCATGGGAACGGAAAGGCTAGGATATGAGCTACTTTAAAGGAAAACTGGAAACATGAGTTAATGAAGTTAAAACTGGAGCTTCCGTGGACCCAGCTGGGGACTCTGGAGAGGGAGCCCCTCGGCGGGGGTGGGGTGGGGAGGGCACCCAACAGGAAATCCACAACAAGGGCTGGAGAAGTGAAGTCAATGCTGGCAAGAAGCAGGTCTCTGGAAAGCTCTGAGAAAGAGAAGCCCAGTGGAACTGGGCTGGACACTGTCGCAGGGGGTAAGGAGGTGTGGGGAGGAAATGAAGCAGTGGTTAGGGACAAGCACTTCGCAGGCGGTTGACAGTGAAGGGAAGGGATGAGGAGTCTGGTGGATGGAGGGAAGCAGGAGACCAAATTTTTTCCCAACACAAGGAAAAAGCTATGCCTAGCAGTTCAAGCGAGTGGTTAAGGAGGCCAGGAGAGCACGGGAGATGTTGGAGAATACAGATTTAAGAGTGCAAACCAGAAACCCAGCCATCAGGAAGAATGAAAGAAACCTTGCCACTTGCAGTGACGTGGATGGAACCAGAGGGTATTATGCTGAGCAAAATAAGTCAGAGAAAGACATGTATCATATGATTTCCTATGTGGAATTTAAGAAAACAGATGAACACAGGGGAAGGGAGGGAAAAATAAAAGACGACGAAAACAGGGAGGCAAACCATGAGAGACTGGTAACTGTAGAGAACAAACGGAGGCTTGCCGGAGGGGAGGGGGCGCGGGGCTGGGGTAACTGGGTGTCGGGTGTGAAGGAGGGCACGTGCTGGAATGAGCACTGGGTGTGAGACCAACTGATGAATGACTAAACTCTACCTCTCAAACTAATAATAGAGTATAGGTTAATGAAATTGAATGTAAATAACAAATTAACAAAATAAAAGACGTGAGAAGGGAGAGAGCCCCCAGACCACCAGCCCGCCGGCCGCATCCTTGCAGCGCAGCTAATGCAGGGTTAATCCTACCGCTGTCGAGGCTGTCGAGGCCCGGAGCGTCTCCTCTTTCTGCTCTTTCCGCGTGTGGGCAGGAATCAGAGGAGTGACCAACCTGTCCAACCAGGTAGGCGGACCTGCTTTTGTGTGGAATAATCGCCGGGAACAATGGGAACTTTCCCATTTGAACACGTTATAAAGGCCCCTAGGGTGCTCGGGCCGCACAACACAGGCCGGCTGGCGCCCGGGCAACCTGCTTTAAGTCTTGAGTGGCGCTCCGGCGTCACCACAGAATTGGGGGCTGGTCTTAGTTTAAGGGGGAGAACGTTTTTGTTTTTGTTTTTTTTTTAAGATTTTATTTATTTATTTGAGAGAGAGAGAATGAGAGAGAGCATGAGAGGGGGGAGGGTCAGAGGGAGAAGCAGGCTCCCTGCCGAGCAGGGAGCCCGATGCGGGACTCGATCCCGGGACTCCAGGATCGTGACCTGAGCCGAAGGCAGTCGCTTAACCAACTGAGCCACCCAGGCGCCCGGGGAGAACGTTTTTAACACAGTTTTCGCCTCCTTGGGGAAGGCGAGCCCTAGGAGACGGAGCTCTGGGAGTTAGAAATTACAACTCGCTGGTTCCACATGGAAAAATCCATGTTTACAAAGGCATCCTTAGGATACCAAAGAAATCAAGGGTGATGTTAGATAGCTGAATTATGTTTTCCAAGTAAAAAGACCTGCTCTAGGCTTGAAAGCTCTACTTCTGTCTGCTTGGGACCCAGAACCTAAAGGTAGAGCCACAGCTGGCTAATAATTAGCCCACAACTCTGAAGTCAGCATTATTTTCAAAGAAAACGGTTGGGTTTAGCCAAAAGAGTCAGTAATATTTAACTGGCTATAGAGAACAACAAATAGAAAGGATACATTTTTAAAATAAAAAAATCTTTTAAGCGCTGGTCATGGTCTTTATATACTGTTTTAAAGCTGGGAAAGATTAGTCAAATTCTTAGCAGTGCAATGTTGCTAAAGTGATCATTAGACACTTAGGTTTGACAAAAGCCAATTCCTCAATTCTCGAAATTTGAACTTAACCCTCATCCTCACTGCCCCCTCCTCCCAAAGACCTCAGCCTTATAGCATAAGCCAGGAAACAAGCGGCCTCCTTTTTTTTTTTTTCCTCTCTCTTTTTAAAAATGCAGACACCATTGTTGCTAGGCAGATTATAAGCATCATTTGTAGATGAGGCCTACAGTTAGGCTCAATTAGATTCAAAGAGAAGCTGTTTTGTAGAACACAAGTCTCCCATTCTTCGACAGAAATGTGGGCTGCTTTTAAACAGCAAGCCTTACTAGTGAGGACTTCTGAAAGTCCCTCTCTGTACCCTACAGATTCTTTCCCCTACATGCCAAGCACCAAATCCTAGTGTGGAATCTATGCGAACCTGTCAAAGATTTAAATCTAGAGATTTTAGCTAGAGAACTAGCTAAAAATTGGATGCAATCACAGCAAGTGACTCAGCATTGTTGCAATTACTTCAAGCCATGAACTTGATCCGTCCAAGATTCAGGAGCCTATCAAAATGCTCCCCAGTTTCAGGCTGCTTAGTAATAACTATTGTACTGCTGTGAATCCCATTACTGGTAGAAATTTGATCCAGGCACAATTTTTAAAAAATGCTTACAAGTGAACTGAGAGTCCCAGTCACTCAGGGTCTCCTGCTGGGCAGGAGTGAGGTCAGAAAGGTCATCGTACTCGTCCTTCAGTGCTTCCTTATCCAGGCAAAACGTGGCAAGGCCCCGGGATGCGTCTCTTCCAGCAAAGACCCCGTATGGCCCCTCTTAAAAAACAAACAAAACCAAAGACCAATTCTTTATTAGACAGTCAATTTCTCTGTGGTTCATACACAGAAAATGGCTTCCTTACCCATCAACAAAGACAGCCCTCCTTTGCAGTACCAAATTCCATTTGGAAACCAGAAGTGATGTCGATACTTTCATCATTATGTAGTGGCTCCCCCCAAGGACCTGCTGTCATCAGACTTTTACAAATCAATATGCTATACATTATCATCCATTTCCTGTGATTCTCAAATAGCTAATAAAAAAGCCACGAATGATTATCTCCTGGGGCAGGATGGGGTGGTGGTGGTGGGAAATCATCCAAGATAATACTAAATCCAAGGGTCAGAATTCAACTTTAGGACGTTGAACCCAGAGCCTGTCTCTGTTCCAGGCATTTGGGCTACACCAGTGAAAGTTATGGCTCCTTAAGGTAGTAAGTACTAAGACAAAAATGAGAACATCTCCTTATGAAATGTATTCTGATAAGTTTTAATGAGTCAAAAGTATCTTATAGTGATCTTCGGTTGTGAGACTGGCATTTGCAGCAAAAATCATTTGGTAGGAGTATCAGTGGTCCAGAAATCTATCCCCATGTTAAATAATCTACACTGTCAGTAAAGAAGAGGTAGCAGAGGAGATCGGCTCCGTCACTGATGAGCTCGAAGACTCAAAATACTTAGATTTTCATGGGAAAAAAAACCCGACTGAATTAATATCTCCAAATAATTATATAAAACATTAGAATGTTATTATATATTATACTGAACTTTTGTCTAAGAGAGTGGTGAATTATTTGTAGGTACTTAAAGTAGATGTTTAGACTTATTTAAATATTGCACAAGTAAAGGAAAAGAAGCCAGTGTACTTTAAACTATGTATTGTTTCCCCAAGGGAGATTGGATAGCAACTCTGACATTAAAGTTTGTAGGTAACCACTATGCCAAGTATGAGAAGAGATCAAATTTCCATATGGCCTGGTCACTGGAAACCTCAATTCCCCTAAGAATTTTTTTTTTTTACAAATTAGACAAAATTTATGATCAACTTTTAAATGCAAATAAAGTTCTAAAGAAAACTGGTTGTTTGCGGTCTTCATTATATACTATCATGTCTACTAATGAAGGTTAAAAAAAAAACCCATTACAGTTTTCACAAATGTGTGTGTGTGTGTGTGTGTGTGTATACACACTTCTCGTGGATATGGTAGCATCCAGTACTTGAAAATAGGCCAACTGTTCTGGTTTGGAACCAGAACAAGGGACCTCGTTACTTCAGAGATTATGGTCACAGAGTACTTAAAAATGGCTCAAGGGGAGCACTAAAAGTTTTTGGAGAATATAGATTATTCACCCGAATGTATCTTCACTAGAATGTAAGCTCCATGAGAGGAGATGTGTGTCTGTTTTGCTCACAGCTGTATTCCCAGTACCTACAAAACTGCTGTGCATTGAATAACGGGCACTGGAATGAGTAATTTTTAAGAATCCTCTGTAACATGAACGATCATTTGCACATGATTCACATATTCATGGGCTCACGGGATGATACCACCCAGCAGAGACTGAGGAGATCTCACAATGGGCCATCCTTAGCATTTTTCAGAGGGACAACTAAGGCCCAGAGAGAACAATGCTTTGCACCAGGTCACACAGCTAGTCAGTAATCCAACCAGGATTAGAACTCTGGTCGCCTGACTCCCAGAGTTTTGTGTTTCTGTGCACAGGCCTGCATTCCTCTCAATGACTTTGCAAATTACAACCCTATGATGTTGCCCCATGTACCCGGCTGGACTCCTTGATGGGTGTAGCTCAGGAGGGACAGCTATTTACATGATTATGTAAAGTGGAAGCGACAGGGAAAGTGACAACAAAGGTGTGGTTCTCAAATTCTTTGGACAGTTACATGGCCTACAGAAAGCAGGTCTTCTAAATCAGCGACAAGGAAAAACCGCTAAGGGGACCAGTTCCGGAAGAACCTGAACCCATCTGATTTTGATTAGTTGGGCTGGGCGAGTAAAAAAACAAAGCAGGAGTGGAGATGATGGACATCACCGCCTTCTAAATCCTCTTCAGTCTCTCCAGACCAGTGGGGCAGAGGGCCCTCCATGTGGACACACTCCCTGAGCTCCCTGTTTTTAGGAGTCCATATTAGAGGAGCTAAAATCTCTTCCTCCCCCTCTCCGGAATATTCTACAGGGCACGACTTTCCAAACCTGGCCGCTTCTCAAATGTGCCTGGGGGGGAGCCGCTTAAAATGCAGATTGCTGGACCTCCCCCACCGTGGCTGCGATTAAGCCGGGAATCGGTGTTTTTGCTCAAGCGCATCAGGTGATTCTGATCCGCAACCAGGCTTAGAAAGCCTCATCCCTAAGGCCCTCCAAGCCTGCCCCCCTCCAACGGCTCAGCAGTCATCCACCCCCATTTCCCCTCTGGTTGGCTTTTCCTGAAATCCCCACACCCAGCAGTCCTCACAGCCCTACCCCTTTTGTTTCCCAGGATCCTCCCATTTCTCCCTCCCTCCATTTTTAATTTTTTTTTTTTTTGGCTTCCAGTCCTTTCTCTCCCGCTACAGACTAAAATGCTGTGTTACCTTCTCATCGCGCCACGTTCCCATTGTCCGCTACGTTCAGCCTCCTTCCGCCCTCCGTCAGCTGCCCACCCCCCCCACGGAGGCTCCCCGTTCACCTTCCAGCTTTTCGGTCGGCCACACACAGCACGCGCACACACATACCAAACACATGCCACACACACATACCTGACACATGCCACATTCCGAGCGCGCGCGCGCACGCACAGCCGCGCCTGGCAAGCCACGGCCACGGCCACGGCCACGGCCCCGGCCCACGCACTCACACATCACCCGCCGGCACGCACTCGGCTGCTACCTGCCGCCCATCCCACCTCCGCTCTCCTGCTCCCGCACCTTCACACACACGCCGCGGCGGCCTTCGCGTCTTCTCGCAGGCTGGACCTCCCCCCTCCGCTTCCCTCGAGACGCCCACGTTTCCCTTCTCCAGCCCGACACCGCCCCTCCTTCCAGGAACCCCCAAACCCCATGCCCTCGAAGCTCCCTCGGCACGGCGCGCGGCCGTGCCCCCCCTTCCAGGCCGGCGAGCTCGCCTCCCACCCCCCCAGGCCCCCCCCACCCCCGGCCCCGGGCGCTCCAGCCTTCTCTCCTAACCCCCCACCACCCCCCATCCCGGCGCTGGCGGCGTCCCCCGCCGGCCGCAACCCTTCTAGAGCGCCCCTCGCCCGCTGCCGCCGGGGAGCCGCCATTCCTCCCCTCGGGGGCGCCCCGCTCCTCCTCGCCTCCCCCGGCCGGGGCCCTTCTTTTGTCTCCGCGTCCCCTGGGCGGCCGCCGTTACCGGGCCCGTAGAACTTGCGGCCTTTGGTCACGTCGAACACCTTGCCGTTGATGGCCATGAGTATGCGCGGGTCCTGGACGCCGTCGAAGCGCCGCAGTTCGGCAGGGGTGAAGTCGCGCCGCTTAAGGCGGGGCAGCGGGGGCGGCTCGTCGTCGTCGCTATCGCTGCTGGCCGCCGGCTGGTCCCCGCGCACGATCTTGTACAGCAGGAAGACGCAGAGGCCGAGCAGCAGCAGGTTGAGCGGCGACGTGAAAATCTCGTGCAGCAGCCCGCCACCCTCCAGCTCGCTCGGGTCGGCGCCGGTGGCCGCCACATCCTCGGCAGCCATGATCTCTGGAGCAAAGGTTGGGCCGGGCTAGGGAGGGCTCCGGAACTCGCTGCTTCCTCCTCCCTCTCGGCGAGCTAGTGGCGCGCGGGGCTCAGCGGACAAGGACTAGCCGGCGGAGGAGGCGGGGCGGGGCGGGGCCGAGGCGGGCGGAGCCTCCGGGCCCCGCCTCCCCCGCCGCCCGCCCTGGGCGCCGCGACGCGTCCAGCTCCGGCCCCCGCCCCCGGCCCCGGGACGGTCGCTCCCCTTCCCCCGGCCGGATCCCGCCGCCGCCCCTCCCACCCCCGCGGAGGCGGCGGGAGCGGCACCCCCCCCCGGCCCTACCTGCGAGGCGGTGGCCCCAGCCTCACGCCATCCCCGCGCCAGCCTCTAGCTGAGCGCGACGCGGCGCGCAGCCCTCCTCTGCACCCTCGCCGGCTCCTTGCACCGCGACCCGCTCCGAGAGCCTCGGCTTTGGCGAGCTCGGTTCGAGGCCCGCTCGGCCACCTGATGCGCGCCACCCACGACTCCATTTCTCTTGCTTCAGCTTCTCCCTCGCCTTCCACTCTGAAGCTGCACCTTTCCCCGCCCATCCCCCCGGGGACCGCGAGGCTCCCTTGGGGGACGGGAAGGAAACTCTCCTCGAGCTCCTCTTTCCACCTTGGAGGCCCAGACTACCCATTTCCACCTAGAGAACCCCCTTTTACTCTCCTTAATGACCCTTCTCCAGTCCTCCCCGCCAGAGGCTGTGGCGTGGACACCCCCGTGTAGCTCAAGTCAGCGCACAGGCCCCTGCCTGACAACTCTCCCAATATCTGGGGGAGACCGATCGGCTCTCCGGATGAAATTGGATTCATTCTCGGAAATCTAAACCGTTTCGCAATCACAGATTTGCTCAGTCCCAACGCATCAGCAAGCAGCCTTCTGTTGTTGCCTTTTTTTTTTTTTTGGCTCAGAATAATGACTGAAGTTTCTTTGTTGGCAGAGTTGTTTTATTTGAACTCTGTCGAGCTACCCTTGGCAGTCTCAATAACCCTGTACTGTAGCCCAGACGAAAGCGGGAGTTTGGAAAGATCCTAAGTTTGGTCCCTTCCTTTCCTGGGTATTTCCACCGGCTATTGATGGGCTAACAGTCTGCACGGGAGCAGGCCTTACGGAGGAAGGGCCGTCTCTACCCTTTAGAATCCTAATCCGGCCGCCCTCTTCAGTGTCACGGGGTGGGGGGAGGGGAGCGGAAGAAAGGATAGAGAGAAGGGGGGAAAATAATTAAAACCAAGCCCTGCACACATCTGCAACCCAGAGCAGTACTTTTCCATCAAGAGTTCTGTTCGCTTGCACATAATTTACTCCCCCTCTCAACACGCAAGAGATTTGAGAGAATTGGCGTCTTACCTCAGAATTCTAAAAATTTCTGGCACCAACTGCTTCCATCCCTGCCCCCACCCCATCTTCTTAAATCCTTTAAAAGTACGTATGAGCGGAATAATCCTTAAATCGGGCCCACACATTTTTCCCCCCACAGATCTAAATTTAGGGTTAGCTGAAATGGCCCTCACAGATCTTTTGTCAAACCTCTTCCATGTAATCAAGGGAAAACAGGCTTAAACTGAGGGCCCAAGGCCGGAGTTACACTCTAATTATCTTTTGTTTTAAAAGTCTATGGCCCAGATATTTTTAAAAACCAACAAACTTGTGAAATATATTTTCATCTAATGATAGAGAAAGGGTTAATACCTTGTAAGAGCTCATTTTCATTGATAAGAAGATCCAGAAGATGCTAGTCAATAAATGGGCAAAAATGGAAATAGGTAGTCCACAGAAGAGGGGCTACCAATGGTGAGTAAGCATATGAAAAATGTTCAGTCTTACTGGCAATGGAAAATGGAGATACTCTTGTCACATACCACCTTGCTGTCAGAAAGATGCAGCAACCAAAAAAAGGATGATCTACAAGGCTGGCCCGAGAGTGATGAGACCCTTGTACACTGTTGGGAGTAGAAATTGATATAATCTTTGTCATTCATAGAAATACTTTCTGTCCATTAATCCCACTTCTAGAAATCTACTTTTTGGTCCAGTTCTTTGACCTCTAGGAATCCATGCCAAGGAAACACTTAGAAATGCAAAGATTTCATTACTAAGATGCTTATCAGAAAAACTTTTTTTTTTTTTTTAAGTAGCGAGCTCTATGCCCAATGTGGGACTCGAACTCATAACCTCGAGATCCAGAGTTGCATGTTCTGACTGAGCTAGCCAGGTGCCCCAGAAAATCACTTTTAATATGAGAAAATTGGAAACAACCTAAATGTTAAACTTTAAGAAATAGCTAATTAATCCACTTGAAATGTGACAAAACCACAAAATATTATTATGACATGCATGACATGGGAAAATGCTTATGTCTTAAGAGAGGAAAACAGGATACAAAACTATGCAGTATGAAAACTCAACTATGTAAAAAAACATGCATTAAAAGGAAGCCTAAATGGAAACATGCTAAAATGTTAACTGTTGTGATTGTTAGTTTCTTTGTACTTTTCTATGTTTTCTGCAATGAGCACATGTCACTTTTAGCCTCAGGAGGAAAAAAAAAAGATTTATTATTACTTTTGTGAAAAAAATGTGGAACGGTAATACATGCTCATTGTAACAAACTTAAACAATATGTAAGTGCATAAAAGAAAAAATGAAATTCATTCTCTCTCTCCCAGCTCCCCAGGCAATCTTTAAATGGGGCCCACACATTAGTAGGTTGGTTTATATTCTTGCAGACATGGGAAACACACACACACACACAGATTTTGTTTTACAAAACTGGGGAAATTTAAAAATTATAAATGGTTTACCAGGTTTTTTTCCTAATGAAGAGAGATACAAAGTAAAAACTAAGAATAACTCATTAGCTCCCACCCAGATAACACATATTGAAATTTTTTTAAAGTCATATTTGTTTGTCATAAAATTCAAACTATGGAAAGACACAAAAGGTAAATTAAAGTCCTTCTCTTCAGCCCTGATTCTCTCTCCTCAAAAATAAGCACTGTTGGAAGTGGGGGAAATGTCAAACACAGAAATACAATACTGTGTGATATCTCTCATATGTGGAATCTAAAAACAGACACTGAACTCAAAAAAACAGTGGAATGATGGTGACCAAGGGCTGGGGGTGGGGGAAGGGGAGAGATGTTGTTTAAGGGTGCATACTTGCAACTAGTAGATAAATAAGTCCTGAAGAGCTAATGTACAGTACAGTGATTATGGACAACAAAACTGTATCTTAAACATTAAACTTGCTAAGAGACTGGATATTAATTGTGCCCACCACTAGAAGAAATGATAATTACATGATGAGACAGAGGTGTTAGCTAATGTTACAATAACAATTGTATTACAATATAAATGTATCAAATGTACACCTGAAACTTACACGATGCTGTATGTTATCTCACTTATGCTTTATCTTTTTTTTTTAATTTGAGAGAATGGGGGGTGGAGAGCAGAGGGAGAGGGAGAGAGAGAATCTCAAGCAGACTCCCCGCTGGGTCTAGAGCCTGATGTGGAGCTCGAGCCCACAACCCTGAGATCATGATCTGAGCTGAAATCAAGAGTCAGACACTTAACCCACTGAGCCACCCAGGCACTGCTATATTTTATCTTTTTTTTTTTTTTAAGATTTTTTATTTATCCATTTGACAGAGAGAGACACAGTGAGAGAGGGAACACAAGCAGGGGGAGTGGGAGAGGGAGAAGCAGGCTTCCCGCTGAGCAGGGAGCCCGATGCGGGGCTCCATCCCAGGACCCTGGGACCATGACCCGAGCCGAAGGCAGACGCCCAATGACTGAGCCACCCAGGCGCCCTATATTTTATCTTAATAAAAAGTGGGGGATATGCCTTTATGGAGGGCTGGGGAATTTCTAATTTTCTTCCCCCACACAGAGGGTAGAAAAGTTGTGCAACTTGAAACCCCAAGCAGTGATACAGTTTGAAAATATAAATGCTCTCAAAACATATTTGATATTAAGGTGGGCTCTTAAATAACCCCGGGATGTTGAGATTGTTGAGGAAAAGCATCACCTCCACCTCCCCGCCCCCCCCCCCCCGCCCCACCTCATTCTGGCTTATAGTTGGTGAAAAGGTCCAGAGTTCTCAAATTCTGTGGAAATTGGAAGGGAGCTCCTGACTAAAAAGCCCTCTCCAGAACATGAGAGTTGCATTATATGTGCTCTTTGGCTTCAAATCAATTTCTAAAGCTTATGTACTAGACCTGAGGGCTACTTATATCACAAGATATATATTAAGTCTGTTGATGTTTCCAAACTCCTGCCTCCTTTAAATTATTTTCAAAAGCTTTTAAAGAAAAATAGGACAATTGGTTGGTTAGCTAGAAAATGTGTGGGAAGTAATTCAACTTCACTAGTAATCAAATCCAAAAGAACAGAATAACAACGTACCACTTTTCATCATTCAAATTACTGGAGCATTCTGTTTTGCCTTTTGTTTCTTGAAGCTTTTTAAGAATGGTAATTCTTGGTGTTGGCAAGCATACAGCAAAGGCAAGCACTCTGACACAATGCTGGCAAGAGTGAAATTGCTAGAATGAAAGATCCGTTTTGTTCACCGGTGTATTTCAAGCCCCTAGACCATGTCTGCCTCAATAAAGTGGTAGGCACTCAATATTGTTGAACTAAATTATATTTTAAGTGAGTATAGACTTTCTAGAAAGCCCTTTTGGCAATATGCGGCAAGAGCCCATTATTCCTAACCTGTGACCAAGGAATTTAACTTCTAGAACTTTTTCTTAGGGAAGTGCTCAGAGATGTGAACAGAAGTTTGTATAGAAAAATCACAGGGGTGCCTGGGTGGCTCACTCGGTGAAGTGTCTGCCTAAGGCTCAGGTCATGATCTTGGGGTCCTGGGATGGAGCCCGAGTCGGGCTCCCTGCTCAGCCCGGGAGTCTGCTTCTCCCTCTCCTCCCTGCTCATGCTCTCTCTTGCTATCTCTGTCTCTCTCTCTCAAATAAATAAATAAAATCTTAAAAAAAAAAAAGGCAGAAAGGAAAAATCACAAAACATGATCATGACCTGAGCCTTAGGCAGACGCTTCACCGAGGAATTGGAAACTGTACTTGTGATTCCTTTTGCTGGAATGTTCTTGCCCAAATATCCTCATGGATCATTCCTTCACCGCTTTCAAATTTTGAAACATCCTGCCCCTCCTCTCCATCCCCCTTCTTGGCTTTATTTTTCTCCATCGCATTTACTGCTTCCTCATTTATAATATCCCTTACTCACTTTTTTGGTTATCTCCTTCGACTTGAATGTGAGCCACACAAGAAGAGAAATGTTATTTCCTTCCCTACTGTAGCCCCTGTACTTAGGATAGTGGCTGACGCATAGCAGGTGCTCAGTAAACTTATTTGTGGACTTGAATTGATTTGAAAATGGAAATGCACTATGTGAAACATACACGCACAGACAAGACATGAAGGAAATACACCTAATAGTTAATGACAATGGCGCTTCCGCCACCGCTGCGGCCGCCTCGCGGTTCCCGGGGCTCCCGGGGTGGCGGTGTCCCTGTCCACCTGTCTGCACCTGATGTCTGGAGGCCTTTGGAAGGCGCGCTGCGCAACGACTCCAGCGTGGAGCTGAGCCAGTACCGGGACCCGCCCTTCCGGGGTGACCATGAAGAACAGGAAAAATTACTGAAGAAGAGCTGCACGTTGTATGCTGGAAACCTTTCCTTTTGCACCACGGAAGGGCACACCTATGAACTCTTCAGCAAAAGTGGCGGCATAAAGAAAATCATGATGGGCCCGGATGTGGGTTCTGCTTTGGGGAGTCCCATTCAAGAGCAGGTGCAGAAAATGCCATGAGGTACAGACATGGAACTTGTCTGGGTGACCGGATCATTCGCACAGACGGGGATGCAGGCTTTAAGGAGGGCAGGCAGTATGGCCGTGGGCCATCTGGGGAGAGCCCCATCATGAAAACTCACTCCTTTGGCCTGTTGAATTTGTGGGGCACTACCCAGGGTCTGCAAAGCTGCCCACTTTTCCCAGCCTTTTTAATTTTTTCAAGAAATCTCTACATTCAAGGTGGGGCTCGAACTCACAACCCCGAGATCAAGAGTGGCTAAGATCCAGGGACTAAGCCAGCCGGGCGCCCCCACCATGCTTTGTTCAAGGTCTCTACTGAGCTGGAAGCCTTTTCATGGTTTTCCTATTAAGGGACAGAATCCAAAAGAAAGCCTTTAATTCTATAGTCTTAGAATCTTGGCCATGTGTCAGGTTACCAGAATGATTTTATGTTACCAGGTTGCCTTCGATGGCAACAGATTTTTTTTTAAGATTTATTTATTTAGGGCACCTGGGTGGCTCAGTTGGTTGGGCGACTGCCTTCGGCTCGGGTCGTGATCCTGGAGTCCCGGGATCGAGTCCCGCATCGGGCTCCCTGCTCAGCGAGGAGTCTGCTTCTCCCTCTGACCCTCTCCCCTCTCATGTACTCTCTCTCATTCTCGCTCTCTCAAATAAATAAATAAATCTTTAAAAGAAAAAAAAGATTTATTTATTTATTTGAGAGCGAGAATGAGATAGAGAGAGCATGAGAGGGGGGAGGGTCAGAGGGAGAAGCAGACTCCCTGCTGAGCAGGGAGCCCGATGCGGGACTCGATCCCAGGACTCCAGGATCACGACCCGAGCCGAAGGCAGTCGCTTAACCAACTGAGCCACCCAGGCGCCCCGATGGCAACAGATTTGATCTCTGATGTTGATCTATCAGCTCCTAAACACCACACTTCTTCTAGGAAGATGGAAAATTTAAAAAAATTGATAGTAGATTCATGGTCTACATTGGGGCCTAGTGTTATTATGTAAACATTTTTAAGTGTGCAGAAGATAAAATGTAATAAATGGGGTTTTGCTGTGTTGTACAGCTTTGCTCTAAATTAGTAGCTCTTTGACAGCTGACTTTGCTTTCTGTGTTGAGTTCTCATCTCTAAAGGCAAACTCAGGAGTCAAGGGAACTTCCTAATTTGTTGGGGCAAAAGTAAGGCTTAGACTGTCCCAGGGGAGACTGCCAGCTTATGTGCTTTATGTATTAGGACTTGAAAAGTATTGACTGTACGCATTTTTCAAAAGATGTGTTTTACTTAAAGCTACCAGAAAAGGGTTTATGCATCACACTGATGCATTTTCATAGTGATCTTAGGAATGGACTGGGTTTCAAAAGAGCTTGAAGATCAAGAGAACATTTAACCAGGACAATCTGAATTGCTTCCCTCAGGAAATGTGTGTCGGCCAATTCTCATATTGAGGTTTGCCCCCCCCCATTCTGCTTACTGAGTTTCAGAGCCTTGTTAGTGAGCTGATGGCCTCTACAGAGAAGGGGGTCTACAAAATTTATTTTGCCTTTGTAAGGCATGAGGTGATTTCTCTAATATATGTGAACTCTTGCTCACTTAAACGGTTTGCCTAATACAATTTTCCCTGACATAAGTGAAATTTTTTCATCTAGCAGCAGAGCATCTCCTAACTCCCACTAGAGTCTGTGGAAGTTGGGGCTGAAGTATCTCGATGTGAGCACCTTTCCCATTATGGGAAGAATAGGTTCTCTCATCAAGTTCAAGCTGAATATTTGGATTTTTAAAAGCTGTGTCTAGTTGTATGTGTTTAGGTAAGAACCATTTGCAGATGTTTAATGAGGACGTATCCTTCATTTTAAAAATTTCTTTTACACTGTAGTTTGAATGAATGTATTTTATAATTTTGTAGTAAAACATAACTCAGATTTCTATAGGCCTTAACGCAAACAGTGGTTCCTGCTTGAATTGTTGGACTGAGTTATCATTGTCTCTGCCATTACTTCACCTAGAAAGAGGGACATTGGAACTCTTAAAAAGAAAAAGTTAATGGAGGTTCTGGGTGGCTCAGTCGTTAAGCGTCTGCCTTCGGCTCGGGTCATGATCCCAGAGTCCTGGGATCAAGCCCCACATCAGGCTCCCTGCTCCTCGGGAAGCCTGCTTCTCCCTCTCCCACTCCCCCTGCTTGTGTTCCCTCTCTCGCTATGTCTCTGTCAAATAAATAAATAAAATCTTAAAAAAAAAAACAACTTAAAAAAATAAAAAGTTAATGACATCTAGTATGTTAACTAGAGTGGAATTAAAATTTTAAAAAAGTTAATGACAACTATTTCTGGGTTGTGAGATTATGGATAATTTTGGTTCCTTTTTTGTACAGTGAGCATAAATTATTTTTATTATTGTAAAAAGTAATACAAAGTTCAAACAATGAAAAGGATAAAACCCAAAACTTCAAAATTGCCAACCATGTCTTACATAGTAGAAATATATGGATTCCAAAACAACCAGCCAACCGAGCGTATGGATTCTACATTTTCAATTTCAGAGGTTACAGTAGGCAGCACTTGGTGCTGAGATTTTAAAGACACCCAAAAGGGGCCTGTCCATCTATATTCATTTGACCTTGCAGACCTCTTGAGACCCTGCCCCGTGCTAGGCTCTGTGGTAGATGTTAAGAATGCAAAGTCTTTGCCCCTCAAGGAAGGAGCTCACTGTCTAGCAACAGAAGACAGTCAGTCAAAAGGTCATAGATGCTGTGATCATGGTCTGCGCACGATAAGGAGGAGGTAGAGAAAGGAGGGATGGAAGGTCTGATCTAGGAAGATTTCACGCAGGAGGTGACTCTGGGCTGAGCCTTAAAAATGTTCACCAAGTGGATAAGGAAGCAATAAGTTTTCTAGGGAAACCAGTGGTTCTCAAACTTCAGTGAGGATCAGAATAATCTGGAGTGGGGGGAGGGTACTTATTAAAAAGTCTATTCCTGGGGCGCCTGGGTGGCTCAGTTGGTTAAGCGACTGCCTCCAGCTCAGGTCATGATCCTGGAGTCCCGGGATCGAGTCCCGCATCGGGCTCCCTGCTCAGCAGGGAGTCTGCTTCTCCCTCTGACCCTCCCCCCTCTCATGTGCTCTCTCTCTCTCTCATTCTGTCTCAAATAAATAAATAAAATCTTTAAAAAAAAAATAAAAAATAAAAAATAAATAAAAAGTCTATTCCTAGGGTCGGCCCCCAAAGATTCTGATCCAGTAGGTCTAAGGTAAAGCCCGAGAATCTTCATCTTTAGTAAAAGCTAACATCGTTGGAGCACTTCCTAGGCAATGTTCTAAGCCCTTTGTATGGAATGACTCATGTCCTCTTCTTTATTGCAATATATTTGACATGTAATATTGTGTTAATTTCAGGTGATACATTTATATATTGCAATATGATTGCCATGTAGTGATAATTAGTGCCTCAGGCACATTACATCGTTAGCATTTCTTTTTAGTGGTTGGATAACTCATGTACTCTTCATAAAACGCTGTGAGGCAGGTAGTTTGTGGGGCAAACTCTGTGGGGCCACCTCAGTGTCAGAGCTCCCTGTGGGATCGACTGAGGCTGTGTTGTGACTGCTCTCTGGATCCTGCTTCCTTGCCTTACCCTTCAGGTGTAGATCCCAAGAGCACCCTCCAATCAACTTCTGATAAACTAACTCTCCATCGTAGAGTCTGTTTTCCTAGGGAAACTGACCGAAGACTAACCTTCCGTGATCTGGCCTCAGCCTGCCTATCTAGCTTGATTTCTTTCTACTTCCTTCTTATCTTACCTTCAACAACTATACTAAAACTAGGAGTGATGTGGCTAACATCACAGCTAAGGTGTATTGAGTGCTACGAACACTTTCCATATATTAACTCATTTATCTCTCATGAGTTAGGTTCTATTATCATCCTCTTTCTATAGATGAGGAAACTCTTACACAGAGAGGTTAAGTTATTTGCCCAAAGTCACACAGTTAGTAAGAGGTAGAGCTGGGATTTAAACCCAAAAGTCTGGCTCCAGAGTCCAGGCTTTACATGAGATCATTTTTCTTTGTAGAAGTATTATGTTGGTAGGAACCTTGAGGATGCATTGGACGGATGGGTACTGGAGCAGGGACGCCAATGAGGAGCCTTCCTCCGGAGGAAATGGGGACGTGAATCAAGGCTGTGATAGTGAGGACATAAACACAGGGACGAATGTGACATATGCCAAGGAGTTGGATGCAACAGGGCTTAAGATTCCTCCTCTACTTCTCCTGTTCCCTCTACAACAATAATTTGCCCCAAGCCCTTGTTTGGGTGAGTGGGTAGATGGTGTGTCATCCACCGAGAGGGGGTATACAGGGGAAAGAGCAAACTTGCAGAAAGGACCTTGCATTCAGATGGGGGTTGTGTCTTAAAGTGTGATTCATGGATCAGCAGTGTAGGCATCAGCTGGGAGCTTGTTAGAAATGCCCCATCTTTGGGGTGCCTGGGTGGCTCAGTCAGTTAAGTGTCTGCCTTGAGCTTAGGTCATGATCCTGGGGTCCTGGGATCAAGCCCTGCATCGTAGGGCTCCCTGCTCGGCTGGGGGCGGGGAGCCTGCTTCACCTTCTCCCTCTGCCCTTCCCCACTCCCGCACCCCAGCTCGTGCTCACTCACTCTCCTTGTGCTCTCTCTCTCTTAAATAAATAAATAAATAAATAAATAAATAAATAAATAAATAAATAAAAGAAATGCCCCATCTCAGGCAATATCCCAGAACTACTGAATCAGAATCTCCAATTTTAACAAGACGCCCACATGAGTCACATGCACATTACTGTTTAAAAAGCACAGGCATAAGGAAGATCTTGGTGGACACATCCAGTAATGTGTCCAGTTGGATCTTTGGGTTTGGAGCTCAGGCTAGACGTGTGCAATGGAGAGGTAAAGAGAGGAGAACCCAGCCTGTGAGCAGATCACC